GTCCTTCTGTGAAAGAGAAATGAAAGCAAATGCTTCCTCTAAAATGGATTTATTGAAATTATTATTATTTTTTGCATTCATTAATTTAACAAATATTTATTGAGTTACTCCTGTGTGCCAAGTGGACAGTGGAGATACTGTAGTAAAACAACAAACAAAAATAATCCCTGCCTTTGAGGAACTTATGACTTTTTTCCTTCCATTATTTCAGAAAATCATATATAAGCTGTTAGTCGTATATTACAGTGGAGATACTTTCTCAGTAGGATTTTGAATGACTTTTTTCTTAGTTTGCTGGCTCTAATATAGAGTCTTGTTGGGGTTGGAAGAGTAGTTTGTCATGAGAATTCTCATTGGTTTCTTGCTTGTTTCTCTATCACAGTGAACAAGCTTCTAGAGAAGTATCAGAGCATTTCATGTCAGTGTTTGTAATTGCCTCCTTCCACCTAGCATACCTACTTTCCTAAGGAAGGCATTCTGGGTTGCATGTTAATCAACTGCATATAAGGGAGACAAAGGTCCCAGAGTGGTGCAAATGGTTTGCGCTCAGCTACTAACCAAAAGGTTGGCGATTCAGACCTACCCAGCAGAAGAAACAGGCCTGGTGATCTGATTCCTTAAAGATTACAGCCAGGAAAACTCTATGGATTGGCAACCAGTGCCACAAAACAATTTGTGTATTAATTGTGTAATGAGAAACTAATTTGCTGTGTAAACTTTTCACCTAAAGCATAATAAGAAAAGAAAAGAAAACCCCATGGAGCAGTTCTACTCTGTAACTCATGGTGTCTCTCCAAAGTCACAAACAAAAAGCAAAATCAACAGTGAACCAACAACAAAAACATATAAGGGAGACAGCTGTCACAGTTTTTCAAAGATATAGGTGGTTTCTTCTGTATAGATCAGGGTTTTCTCAACCTTGACAATAATGACATTTGGGTCCTTGTAATTTTTTGGGTAAATCTGCTGTAAAAGACCTCTTTAAAGTGTTCGAAAGCAAAGATGTCACTTTGAGGACTAAGGTGCGCCTGACCCAAGCCATGGTATTTTCAATCACCTCAAATGCATGTGAAAGCTGGACAATGAATAAGGAAGACAGAGGAAGAACTGATGCCTTTGAATTATGGTGTTGGTGAAGAATATTGAATATACAGTGGACTGCCAGGAAAACAAACAAATCTGTCCTAGAAGAAGTACAGCTAGAATCCTCCTTAGAAGCAATGATGGCGAGACTGCGACTCACGTGCTTTGAACATGTTATCAGGAGGGACCAGCCCCTGAGAAGGACATTGTGCTTGGTAAAGTAGCAGGTCAGTGGAAAAGAGGAAGACCCTCAATGAGTGGATTGGCACAGTGGCTGCAACAGTAGGCTCAAACATAGCAAAATTTTGAGGATGGCGCAGGACCAGGCAGTGTTTCTTTCTGTTGTACGTGGGGTCCCTATGGTTCAGAGCCAACTCAATGGCACCGAACAACAAAAACAAGAATTCTTTGTTGTGGGGGACTGTTCTGTACATTGTAGGATATTTAGCAGCGTTCCTGGCCTCTACCTACTAGATGTCAGTAGCACTCCTCACCCCGAGTTGTAACAACCGAAAATGTCTCAAGACTTTACCTAATGTGTCTCCTGGAGTCAAAATGACCCCCAGCTGAGAACTGCTGGTATAAATAATATGACTCTGTGATTCAGTTCTCACATCCTCTAATTGCAGTAGGTCAGTAAAATCCCCTTTAAAACACACCTGGGACAAGAATTGTTTTCTGTCTGGTGTTTGTAAGAGCTTGGGGCAACTTTCCACCGTGAGTTAATATAAAGTGGGCAAGATATTTGTCAGTCTTATGAAGCAACACCAGCAGTAAATGATGAAATTCCTTCTATAAATCATGCCTTGGAGATATTTTGCATTTCCTATTGGAAATGTGTTAAAATCATGTTCGTTTACCATAATCTAGAGAGCATGCTGGAAACAGTGTACTTTAAGTTAATCTCAAATGATTTATGTGTAAATGTGTTCCAGATCTGGTGATCTCAGCTCAAGCAGTAGGCGGCTCGTTTCCAAACATTTCCATTCTCAGAACTGACATTCAGTTCAATAAGTATTTATTGAAATATGTAATGCAAGAGGGCTTTAGAGCAGTCTGATATTGCTTCCGTGACCCAGTCCAGTAGAAAAGCAGTGCTCAGAACAGTGCTGCCGGGAGTCTCCGCATCTGATGTGTCACCCTCCACGCTCACCCCCCACCCCCAACCCCACATCTTTGGTTTTCAAGATAATATAGAAAAACTGGCTCAAATCTCTTCCTGTACCGTGCCAGCTGTGCCCTCCCCAGGGACTACATGTAATTACACATGATGTCATGTGTTTTTTATTTGGTTCTTTGGTCCCAAAGGGGCTGCTTTTCAAAGTTTTGGCAGGGACATCCATAACATGTTCTGCCCCCTCTCAGCCTCGCAGGGTATTGCAGTCCAACGTGGAGTGGCCTGTCTGACTTACCTCGTATTTCTGAATCTTCTCCACTTATTAAATGCATCAGTAAATTCAAAACTGTAGTGCATGCTGCTCACCAAAGAAGAGTTGGAAGAAGACGCACTGGCTTTGATGCAGAAAGAAAGGAGGAATGAAAGAGAAACATAATGGGCTGGGAAAATCATTCATTTGCTGTGTATTGAGTCCCCTGGGTGGTGCAACAGTTAACGCTCTCAGCTGCTACCCAAAAGGTTGGAGGTTCTGGTCTACCCATAGGTACCTCAGAAGAAACACATGGTCATCTGCTTCCAAAATACCAGCTATTGAAAACCCTATGGAGTACAGTCGTACTCTAACACATATGGGGTTGCCATGAATCAGAATTGGCTCAATGGCAACTGATTTGGTTTGTTTTTCTTTTTACTGTGTGCTAGGCATCGGCGATATAGCTGTGATGAAAATGGACAGGGCCCTGCTTTCTTGGAACTCACAGTCTATTGGGCACTGAGATAAGTAGACAGGTCCCATTTTAATATGGCACGATAGGGGCCATGATGATGGAGATGAAGATGCCGTGGGAGCACTTAGGAAGAGCATTAACCCAGCCAAGGGGGAGGCAGGGGAATCAGAGCCAGCTCTCCAGAGTATGTGGTGTCTTACCTGGGACATGAGGATCCATTGTATGTCAAAGAAGAGGGGGAAAGAGTGTTTAAGGCCCAGTTTGAAGGTCTGAAGGTGAGTGGAAAAAATGGAACCTTTGTGGAACTGAAAAGTTCAGCATGTTTGGATAGTAGAGTATGAGACAGAAAGAGTGAGACGTGAACAAAGAGGAGCAAGTAAAGATGTGGCCCAGGATTCTGACTTGCACAACTCGGTCATTGGTGGTGCCATTTACTGAAATGAGGATCCCAGGAGAAGTAGATTTGGAGGAGGGTGGGGTGACAATGAGCTAAGCTGTTAATCCACTACTAATTCTAGATCACGGGGATGATCTTTTTAAATGTTCTTGGAAAATGGCAAAAGCTAATGGAAATTTGAAAAGCTAATTGGCAGCTTTTTTAACATCATGAGATTTGGTTCCTTGGTTTGGAGGTTTAGGGTCATGGTTTCGTGAGACATCCCAGTTAATTGGCCTAATAACGTGTTTAATGCTTCTGTTCTATCTCCTAGTTCTTTGCCTAGTTCCTGGGGTCTTAAGAGCTTGCAAACAGCCATCCAAGGCACAATGATTGGTCTCTATTCTCCTGGAGCAACAGAAGAAGAATGAGAGTCAGGAATAAGAGGAGGGAATGGAATGTGTGGCTAATTGCCTCCATGAACGACTGCCTCCTTTGCCATAAGACTGGAAGAACAGAATGGTGCCCAGCTAACATTACTGAACAGTTAGACCCAATATTCTATAGACGTGTCCTGATGAAAAGGGGGAAAATTCAAAACAGAATTTCAAATTCTCATGGACTCTAGACTTTCTGGAGTCATGGAGGGTATATGAACCCCTGGAACTATTGCCCTGAGAAATCTTTAAACCTTAAAGCAGAAATATCCCTCGAAGTGTTCTTAAAACCAAACAGTAGTTTAGCTTAACTAGTAAAAAATGTCTGCCTTGAGCATTAGGCTCTTTTAAGAACTACCTATATGGGATCAAAGTGACAACAGCAACTCGAAAGATTGGGTAGGAACCGTAGGGGGCAGTGACTTAATGAGGGAGGAACAACTCAGAAAAAGAGGGTGAGAATAGTTGCACAACTTGAAGAATGTAATCAATGTCACTGGACTGTACGCGTAGACACTGTTGAATTGGTGTATGTTTTGCTTTGTATATTCTCAACAACAACAACAAAATTATTAAATAAATAATTTTTTTTAAAAAAGTTAATTAGCAGCTTTAAATAATTTTGTTAACTCTAGGCGATCATGACATCTGCAGGGATACTCAGCCCTCTTAGCTTCTGCTGATTTTATTTTCATCCAGTAACTATTTCTTAATTTTGATGCACTGCTTAAAATTTACCAAATTTGTGCATAAAGAATGGGTACCTATGAGTGAAGAAGTATGCTGAGTTGTTTAAGGGCTATGTCTGGCTTTTCCAACACATCTGCACCCTCTTCCTTAGATTTACTTTGCTGTGATGGACGTTTTTATTCAAATATTGCATAGACTCCTTTTATAGAGCATATGTCATTTTTTTAGATGACTAAAGAAAAGCATAATAAGTATTGGGGGGCTGTCTTTAGCAGGTGTGCGATATTACAGGATTTTAAGAGGTGCAGGCCTCATTTGAGGAAAATTGCTGAAGGGTGAACATTGTACTCTGATGATCTCATTGCCCAAAGTGTATGGGGAACAAATGTGATTGTTAAGTATAAAGGGACAGAGATTCCTGCTAACCATCACCCTTAGCCATTTTAGCTTTTCCTCATAGCCCTCAGAGGCCTGAAATGTCCAAGGGTGGGCTTTGTATTCTTTTTTATGTAAAGCAGCCTAGCAACTAGAGGCATCCAAGTTCATAGGCCTCCTCTTTGTTTTGGCAGGAATTTAGATAATGGGCTGTGTGCAATGTAAGGATAAAGAAGCAACAAAACTGACGGAGGAGAGGGATTGCAGCTTGAACCAGAGCTCTGGGTACCGCTATGGCACAGACCCCACCCCTCAGCACTACCCCAGCTTCGGCGTGACCTCCATCCCAAACTACAACAACTTCCACGCAGCAGGGGGCCAAGGACTCACTGTCTTTGGGGGTGTGAACTCTTCGTCTCATACTGGGACCTTGCGCACAAGAGGAGGAACAGGTAAGCCCCAGTGGTGGTGGAGGGCAGAAGGCAAGTGGGAGGCAGCTGCTCTTAACTTTCTTGTCAGTTGAATATTTGTGGTTAGTCACCTCCCCTTGACTAAGGAATTTACATTTTAGTTTCTAATCATTTTCTACCTGTTCCCTATCAGATGTTTGTTGTTGTTAGCTGCAGTTGACTCAGCCCCCTGACTCATGGCAAGTCCATGCACAGTGGAACACAGCACTGCTTGGTCCTGCACCATACCCGTGATCTGTGGTGGACTGGACCATTGTGATCCATAGGGTTTTCAGTGGCTGGTTTTTATACGTAGATAGCCAGTCCTTTCTTCCTCGTCTTAGTCTGGAAGCTCTGCTGAAACCTGTTCAGCATCACGGCAACACTCAGACCTCCCCTAACAGATGGGCAGTGGCTGTGCACCAGGTGCATTGGCCAGGAATCGAACCTAGTTCTCCCACATTGAAGGCGAGAATTCTACCACTGAAACACCACCACTCCCCTGTCAGATGAGGGATCCTCAAAAGCCAGAGCTTGATGTAGTCAGAATGCTGGCTGCAGGGGAGGGGCACAGTTGCTGCTCTGTGGGAATTCTGTGCTAAGGTTCAGAGTAGCGAGGTACAGCATGCCACAGAGGGACCTTGGGCCATGGCTTTTTCATCCTTGGCTAGCTGGCTCACAGTAACTCAGGCGGCTTTTTTTCAGAATGGATGTGCCTGGTCTCATCACGAAGCTTTTGACTCAGAAGCTCCAGGACTGGGTCTGGGCATGTGTATTTTGAGTTCCCCAGATATTAATGCACTACCCTCCCCACCTCGTTTAAGAACCACTTTATGGGGGCAGTACCTCCTCCTTCATCTTCCTAATCTTCAGCCTGCCTCTCATTTCCCCGCCACAGGGTCATTTGGCTGCATTATTTTTGGCCATTTGTCTTCTCTAATTCTCTCTCTGTCTTTCTCTATTTCTCTCTCTCAATCTGGTCTCCCCATCATTTTCCATATGACTGAGGTTAGCATAAGTATTTTCATGTACCTCGCCTATTTTAAAATCTTGGTTTAAGTATCCTTAAGGAAACTTTCTCATTTTTTTTTTAAGTTTTCTTTCACACCACAGGGCTACATTTTATTGCCATGTGTATTTGCTGACTTAGCTAATACTTTGTAAAATATCTGGCATACAGTCTCAGACATATGTTTTCCAGAATATTTGGAAGTTATCTCATACAGCCTTAGTCTTCCAAATCCTCTCCCAGTATGTGAACCGTGGTAACTACATATTTAACATTATTTCTTCCAAACTGTTTTGCTTATTACAACAGTTTAAAAGACTATAGCATCAACCATTATACTCTCAGCTCATTTGGGAGCAGACACCTTATATCTTATCCATTGTGCTTTTTTACCTGGGGAGTCAGCACTACTGAGGCATTAGCAGCGACTTTCTTGCCTCCGCACCCAAGACATGGCCATGTGGGTGTATCAGGGGACCCGACCCGGAGCCTGTGGGCACTAGCTACTTCTGTTCTACAAGTGCATCACGTTCTGCCCAGTAGAAAAACATTTAAGTTTATCCTTTTGTTAGGGTGGATCGAGCTTCGCCTTCAACTCATGCCTTGCATGGGTGAATGAATGATAGGTTAAGAAAAAAAAAAGTTTCCCTTGAGTTAATTCCAACTCATGGTGACCCCATCTGTGATCTTTCGGAAACAGATTGCCAGACTTTCCTTATGAGGTGCTTCTGAGTTTGTTTGAACTGCCAGCCTTTCAGATAGTCGAGCACTTAACCGTTTGCGCCACCCAGGGGCGATGAATGCTAGTACACTCACCTGTTTCTCCTGCCTTCTCAGAAGGAGCCTGGAATAAAGAGAGGAAGAGAGGAGACAGACAGGCAGTCTAGGACAGTATGTCTCTTGATGCAGAAGGAAAAAGCCAAAAAGGCACCCAGCAAACACCCCTTGTGCCTACCATGAGAAGCACGAGAGTGTTGCCAGCCCAGACTCTTTTTTTTTTTTTCCTGCTGACACAGGCATCGTCCTTGCTCATTCATTCATGAGTGCTGGCTCCGAATCCCTGTGTCTGCAGGTATCATTTATTAAAATCAATTGAGAGGCCTCCTTGCATTGAATGTGTGGGTCTATACCACAGTTGGGGACAATTCTTAGCATAAGACGCCACCTGATCCCTTATAGAATTTGCAAGTTAAAACACTGTCAGTACCCCCAAATGTTGGAGGATTCTTCTGCCTTCTCTTATTTGGCTTTATTTTCCACGCATGTCCTTTCTCCTCAACTCTGCTTTCGGTCCTTTAAAGCCAGGAACAGTGCCTGTGTTTCTCTGTGATCTCGTTTAGTTCTCCCTTCAGTCCCTAGAACATAAAAGGCTCATGAGAACTTGTCAGCTGATGCGAGGAGAGAGTGGGAGTGTGGGTCTTCATGTGCCTGGTCTTCCACACAATGGAGCTGGCTTGGCTTTGTTTTTAAATTATGTAATGAAGTGAATCTGTTAATAGAGTGTTAAATGAGAATAGGCGTGAACTTACAGGCTCCCATGTTTTTTGTTTTAAGCCAGTCTCTTTTCTAATCTTTCAAAGAAAGTGAAAGAAAACAAGAAGGTTGCCAAAGGAGCCCTACTTTGTGTGGTCAGACCTTCTGAATGCCAGCTTCCCTACAGGAAGTCCCACTGGGGGTGGGGCAGAAAGACAAACCCACCTCCCTCTCTGGTTCATGAATAGTTCCACGAACACATCTGTTCTCTTGGAACTACCTACATAGCAAAATCGCAGCTTGGTGAAAGAGGAGTCTCCATTTTGTGAGTTCTTTAGATCACACCAAGCACTCTGATGTTGTGGAGATAAAAATGAGAAGCCAGAGAGCAGAGAAATGGAGTGTATTAGTTATCAATTCCTGCATAAGAAATTACCGCAGAGCTTAATAGCTTAAAACAGTACACATTTATTGTCTCACAGTTCTGTGGATCCAGGATCCAGGAATGACTTAGCTGGATTCTCTACTTCAGAGTCTCTCACAGGCTACAATTAAGATGTGTCAGCTGTGCTATAGGCAGGGTTCTTCAACTGAGAAGGATCTGCTTCCAAGCCCATGTAGTGTTGGCAAAATTCAGTTCTTTGCGGGCTATTGGACTGAGGACCTCTATTCCTTGCTGGCTGTTGGCCAGAGTCTGCCCTTAGTTCCTGGTCATGTGGCCTGTCCAATATGGCAGCTTGCCTCATCAAAGGGTGCAGGCCAAGGTGGCAATAGAGTCTGCTAGCAAGACAGAAGTCATAAAGTGACATCCCATCACCTGTGCCATTTTTCTGTTGGTTAGAAGCAAGTCATTAGATTCAGCCCACACTCAGAGGGAGGGGATTACACAAGGGTGTGAATCCCAGGAAGTGGGAACCGTTAGGCTCCTCTTAGAATTCTGCCTACTACATGGAGGAAGTCCTAGGCCAAATGGGAAGCTGGACATTTTTTGCTCTTGATAGCAAATTTCTGCAAAGCAACAAGGGTCCCTTTCCAAGATTCAAGCAGATGAGGAGACTTTGGGTGGTTGTGAGCAAGAGTGAGTATAGTATGAAGGTAGGTGTGTTCAAGGTAGAAGAACAAGAGAGAGGGGTCCATTTTGAGTAGTAGGACCAAGCAGCTAAAGACTTCGCAAAAGCAGATGCAGATGCCAAGGGTAACACATCCTCTAATTGGGATTGAACGTTACAGAGGGCGTCTCCTCTAAAGTCCTCCAAGCTGCAGAAGGAATTTCCTATTACAGGCTACATTACTGTTACCCATGGGGCGGAGAGTGATCCATTTTACCCAGAGCCTAACATGAGCTCCACAGTGGAGGAGAACATGTGTCAGATAAAGGGTGTCTGTAATTGCTGCAGAGCTCTGCAAATCTGAAGTCTAATGCTGCTGCTGCCCTTTGATTTTGGACATGATATTAATATCTGCCTCTTCCCAAGGACTCATTCAAAAGCTGTGCAGAGAAGTCCTTCAGCTCCAGGTTTTAGTCAGATCAAATCATGCTTCCTCTGCAAAGACTGAGGCATAAATAAAACCCTGTGACTCTGGTTTTCACACATTAATTACAACACTGCATCATGTTATCAGCGCTGACAAGATGTAGATTTTGAGAATGAGGTTTTAGTGAAGATTGAATTCCTTGGATTTAATTTCCCCGTGCATAATAATCTCTCTTGTTTTGATTTTGTTTTGTCAGGAGTGACCCTGTTTGTGGCCCTTTATGACTATGAAGCACGGACAGAAGATGACCTGAGTTTTCACAAAGGAGAAAAATTTCAAATATTGAACAGCTCGTAAGTTTGGAGAGGGAAAGGGAAAGGATGCTTGCCTTTCATATTGGGAAATTATTCTTCTGTTTTCTATCTGCACCTTTTTAGATACCTGAAACGTGACTAGAACATTTGCTAAATTCAGTAATCATAGCAATATAATTTGAGAAAAGAAGAGTTGATGACCCAGTGCAGTATTTTATGACATTGTATGTCCAGGGAAAGGAGCCCAGGTGTGCAGATGGTTAAGCACTTGGCTGCTAAAAGAAAGGTTGGCAGTTCAAACCCATCCAGCAGCTCCAAGGAAGAAAGACCCTGGTGATCTTCGTCCATAAAGATTACAGCGAAGAAAATCCTATGGGGCAGTCTACTGTGTCATATGGGGTTGCTGTGAGTGAAAATGACTCAAAGGCACCCAACAACAAAACAATGTCCGGGGATCTTTTTGAGGATACCTTAGTAGCAGAGTCAATGATGATTTTTGGTTTTGGTTTTGTTAGTTTTAAAGCTTGTGAAAGCACCAGCATCCCCCTCCAACAAATCTATAGTTTCAAAAGGTTGGCACAAGACTTCGCTACCCATATTATGTCAGCCTTGAGATTTTCTTCACATTTCAAAAGTTGCACTGGCTGAGCCCTCACTTAAGGCCGGCGACAAGCTCCTTCTGTTTTCAAAACTACTGAAAATCCCAACCGGTGAAGTCTGTGGAGGTGTTTCCCCATAATGAAAATTTGCATGTGACTGTAATCTCTGAGATAAAGGAGAAACAATTTCACCCAGTCTTGAATGACTGCAATGCATGCATTTTAAATATGGCCAGTAGGAACAATACTTAAACAGGCAGTGAGGAAGTTTCAAGAGTGAAAATGACTCATTCTTCAAATCCTACATTTAATACCTCCGTTAGAATAAATATGGGTCAGATTTCCCTATGGTTTTCAAATACTCCTTAATAATTAGGTTGAGGCAGCACGCATGATGAGGGCCTTCCAGAAAAATCTAGACTCCAAAGAAAATGGTGGTGCCCATGTCAACAAGACAGGCCTGACCCCTCTCCCACCAGCACCTCAGGTTTTCCTTGTGAGTGCTCCCCTGGCGATTGGGAAAGAATACCACCTAGGTGCTAGGAGCCAGACCAGGAGACTCCAAAGCACCCAAGTCTGGGTTGCTCTGTCCTCTACTCCTGAGCAAACTGTGTTTCCTGATGGCAGAAGGACTTATAGCGTGGCTCTTCAGCTTTGCTAGAAAGTGAGCAAGAGAAGGTGAGAGGCAGCTCTGCTCACACCACATCTCCCCAGGAACAAGGAGTGGACACTGTAACAGGGAGCTCCTCCAGACCCTTCCCTGGGATCCCCACCCTGACCCCAACTCTCAGGCCCCTGGGAGTAGGCCACCTTTCAACAGCAAGAACTGAATTCCTCCCATAAGAGGCCAGTTACTCTCTTCCAGACATCAGAAGACTGTCTACACAGCCACAGGGATTTTTTTTAAATTACAATTATTGTCATCACTATCAGGGATGTGGATGGGTTTTTTGTTTTTGTTCTGTTTTTTTGTTTTTTTTTTTTTACTTTTGTTGAAATACCTGCAGAAAAGTGCATGTATCAGAAGTGTACAGCTGCTGACTTTTCATGAACTGAACTCTCCCGTGCAGCCGGCCCCCAGATCAAGAAAAAGAACACTACCTGTCCCCCAAGAGCCCTCCTCATGTAGCCTCAGGAATTTTTTAAAATAGTAAACAGCTGCCATTTATTGAAGGCTCGTGACGTGCCAGCCTTGTGCTAAGTTACAAATGTTCTTATTTATTCTCCACAACAACTGTATGAGGTATGTAGCATAGTCATCGTCCTACATATGAAGAGTCATCCCGGACTCGGGTCAGGGAACTGCCCGAGTGCACAGAGCTAGCAAGTACCAGTGCCAAGGTTGATACGTGGGGATGGAATCCTGAGTTCAGTGTTAGATTTGGTCTTGGAAAGGCCAGATGCCGCCACAAAAGGGGACTCAGCTGTTCCAGTTGCGTGCAGGTTTGGAAAGATGGGCTGGGAGGTGGGTATGAGAGAATTAGGCTTTGATCTATTCTGATCTGTGATTCCTTATTGTTAATTTATGAGTTCCTGGGTGGTTAAAATGGTTAACATGCTCTGCTGCTAACTGAAAGGTTGGCAGTTCAAGTCCGCCCAGAGGTATCTCAGAAGAAAGGCCTGGTGATCTAATTCCAAACAATCAGCCAGTGAAAACCCTGGGGAGCCCAGTTCTACTCTGACATACATGGGGTCACCGTGACTCAGAATCAACTCAACAGCAACGGGTTATTGTAAGTTTGGTTCTCAAACTCTGAATTCTAGATTCCTCTAACTTTGGATTCTGCGATATGCCACACTACCCCTTCGCATTTTACATAATATTCCCTAAATGCTAAGGTTGCTTAGAAATTTTAAAATCATTTGTAAATTCTAATAAGTAAGAACTAAGGAGTGGTTGTTGTTGTTGTTGTGGGCCGTCGAGTCGATTCTGACTTGTAGAGTCCCCATTTGACAGAGCAGAACTGCCCCATAGACTTTTCTTGGCTATAATTTTTATGGGAGCAGATCACCAGGTCTTTCTCCCACACAGCCTCTGGGTGGGTTCAAGTCAAATCTGTGTCTCAGGTTGTAGGGAAGTTGGAAAGCCTAGTTTTGCCAAAGTCAAAGTCATGACTTCTTCCTTCGTTAATCTGTATAGCATCAGCAGTGTAATCAAATTGAAATTTTGGAGAAACAGTCAAGGAAGATCCAGTCTATCTCAATCTATATTTTGTGATTTGCATGCATGGCCTTTGATGTTTACAAAGGACTTTGAGCCTCTGACCCTGTTCTCTTAGAAGAAAATATGACAAAGGTTTTTTCTCCCCCCTTAAGTTCTTCCTTCTTGCCAGTGGAATTCCTCATCCAACATGCCCATTAAATGCCCTTTTTCAAGGTTATGGGGAAAAAAAAGGGGTTTGTAACAAATACAATATCTTAAAGTCAAGGGTAATAACAGGGAAGAGAAAATCATGAAGGAAAAACAAAGCAATAATACAGAACCAGATGGCGTGCATCTCCTGCCCCTCCTCCAGCCTCTGGCTCTCATCCCCTGAAAGAGAGGGTGGGATGGGGCTCTGCTGTCCCTGGGGCAGCTGCCACACTCCCTGTGTGTGTGTTCTCCCAGTCCTATTTCCCTCTCCAGAGGCAGAAGGGAGCCCCGGGGCTGGCTTTTTGTTTTTAAGTACAGCGTGAACCATGTGGTATGCGTGCACACGTGTGCCCAGAGCGAGGGCCATTGCTGCCTAGCACAGTGTGGGGGCCTCATTGACCTGTTCTTAAGTGCTCACTGTAGTGTATTTGGACATTATTTAATTTGAACCTACTTTACAGAATATCTAAGTTCATTTCATTTCCTGTTTTTACGTTTCATGACTAGTGGTTTGCCATCTAGAAACAGTGATTCTTTAAAATATAGTGTTTTACAGAGTGGGGTAGTGGCCATTGCCGAGGGTTGTGACTCTTTTCATCGTATATTCATCATATAAGAAGAAATCCTGGTTTAGAGTCCTATTCAAACATTTGATAAAAGTGTTATGGATATGCTCTCTGAAAGTAAGACGGGCAGTGGCCAGATTTAGAAAGAGCCCAGCATTATAATAGAGACACTACGTGGCTCAGCTGATGGAGGCTGGCTTATGTTGGCAGATGCCACTTCCTGGCTCCATCAGGGCTCCTGGGGCCCCATCTCCTGGGACCACAAACCCTGTGAGCAATTTGGGAACTGGGGACACACAAGATTTAAGGGCAGACTCTTTTAATAAGTCTTTAATTGGAGGAACAGGGGGAGCTGTTATAAAAATCTAAAAGCCATTCAAAACCAGAGCCAAGGCTTAAGTCATATATTTGAATGAGAGCAGGATAATGGTTAAAGCAAACTATAAGAACAATTTTAAAGACATACAGCTTTAATAATGCTGATTAACCGGAATAACTCAAGTAAAGAAATAAAAAGTAGTGTAGTAGAAATCCTATTTTCCTAAATCAACGTGGGTGATTTGTAAAGAGTATATTATTTATTTGAGAGTAAAGTGGTGCTTCTAGTGTGTTGAAAAACATGACTTCATTTGGGCAACGGACCTTCTGGATACAACATGGTGAGGCTTATTACATAATGCATTGAGTTTTTGTCACCGCATGCCTCCCTTGATGGAGAAAGTGACCCTGGAGGACCTAGAAAAGGGGAAATCAAGTATTTTATCTTTCTCATGACTAACTAAAAACCCTTCTGAGACTAATGGAGTCACTTAAAAGATAGTCAGAAATTCCTGATACATGACTTTAGAATGAGCTGATAGTTGGATTCTAATCTGTACTAAACTATTGAGGTGCCTAGACCAAAATGAGATAGTTAATGCCTGGATTTGAATTGGAAATTACTCATTAATACCAGCTCACCTGAGTAAGCCTACAGCAAAATGTGTTGACTTCCTGCCCCAGTTGACATTCCCATGAACCCTAAAACTGATGCTAGCCTTTCTTTTTCTTAAATAAAATAGGACTAACTCAATGAGGGTTATCTTGCATTAAAAAATAATCCTCTGCTACAACCCAAACCCACTGTCATTAAGTCGAGTCCAACTCATGGGGAGTCTATAGGACAGAGTAGAGCTATCCCATAGGGTTTCCAAGGCTAAATCTTTACAGAAGCTGACTGCCACATCTTTCTCCTGCGGAGCTGCTGGTGGGTTCGAACTGCCGACCTTTTGGTTAACAGCTGAGTGCTTTAACCACTGCACCACCAGTGCAGTGAGTGTGTGTATGAAAGCAAATGAATGGGATGAGTATTGTTATTTTCTGTGGTGAAATGTCTCCATCTGGTGGCATTTCAAAGAAATAAAAGTTGACACCATAAACTGAAGATTATGTGGTCTACAAAGCTATTTCCTTAGCATTGTAGATGTTTAAACAAAAATAAATAAATAAATTCCTGCATATGTTCTTAGATAATATGTTTACAACTGCAAATATTTCTTTTGTGGGGCGGGGGTGGGGCATAGAAATAAGACCAGACATTTTAAATTTCATGAAATCTGATCCTAAAAGACAGAGGGATGCAATAGGGGAGTAGCAAGGTATTGATTCTGATCAGTTGGTAACAATCTAATTCTTAAGTTCCGTGGTGGACTCACAGGTGTTTATTTTATAACTCACATATACATATATTCTTCTGTATGTATAAAATATCATAATAAAAATCTGAACATGAATTAAATTTAAGGTTATGTTTAAAAGACTTTATGAGTATGAAAACAATTGCCTTCCTCTTTTGATTGATTTATCTGTTTAAATTTATTTAACAGAGTGAAAAAGGAGAGCTTGGGAAACTTATTAAAATATAAATTTTAAGAAGCCATTGCCAGCACCCTGTTTTCTTGTGGGCTATCCTGTGTTACTTGTTAAAAGGGCCGCCAAGCACTTTTCCACAACTACCCCAGTAACACCTGTTGGCTTGTCACCATTTTCTCCATTGCTGTACTAAATCTTATCTGGAATCTTGAGTCCCTTCACTCAGAGAGTTAGTCTTTAGAGACTGAGTCTCTGGAGTGAGGCCTGAGTTTAATGCTGGAGGCTGGTTGTTCTCCACCTAATTAAATCAGTCAGGGGAAGTTACCAGGGCCAAAAGCCAACACATTTTCTTTTCCTGGCTGAGAGCTTTGACACAGAGCCCAGCCAGAAAGTGATTTAAAAAAGGGGTTGCAGGGGGCTTGGGGTTCTCTTACCTCTAAGGACAAAAAAAGGAGGGAGAGAGGGCCCTGGGCCTCTGGCGTCAGGTGGTATATTTCAGCACTAGTGATCCAGAAGTCTGAGCGATCTCAGTTGGCTCAAGGACAACTGTGCCGTCCCTTGCCCTTTCCACTTCTGCCCCCAGCCTGGTGGTGGGGGTCTGTGGATACTCAGCAGATGTCAGAGTTACAGCCCCCAAATACATCTCCTGACTGTTGTTCATAGGGAGCAGCACACACTCCGTCCCTGCTCTTTGTCACACATTAGAACTGTGTCAATAGAAGCATATGAACTTTAATCATTTAACTTACCAATTTGTTTTAATCTGAGAGTAGTGTTATAAGCCCCCTTTCATATTCTTACACCCACAGCTCTGGGAGCCACACAGATTGAGACCATACTTTTGTATAGAACATTGGTCAATACAAAGTGATATAACTAAAAATCTTATTCCCGTAGTGAGTTTTTCTTCTTCCCCTGCACTTGTACACATACAGCTACACCCACCCTTGTTCTCCCACCTGCCAGGCTCAACTCAGCACCATAAATATGTGGTGAAATAACCTCAGAATGAGAATAGCTGAGGAAAGCTTAACTTAGTGTAGTCTTTATCACTCTACCTGCAGAAAGGTGTTTTTTACCACTTGCAGTTGAGTCTGTTCTGACTCATGGTGACCCCATGTGTGTCAGAGTAGAACTGTGCTCCATAGGGTTTTAAATGGCTAATACTGCAGAAATAGATCTCTAGGCCTTTCTTCCGAGGCACCTCTGGGTGGACTCAAACCTCCAGCCTTTTAGGTAGCAGCCAAGTGCATTAACCATTTGCCCCACACAGAGACTCTGCAGAAAGATGTTATCTTCCCCATTTACTGGAGAGAAATACTTTCATCCTTTACTGGGCCTCCTAACAGGCTTCATTTCTTGTATGATCAGCATGTATAATGTTTTACTTAAGTAGGCCGAGGCCAGGTTCCCCTTCCCTTCCCCTTAGTCCAAGATGAGGACACTTTACAAGCAACATATGCCCCCTACCCAAAGAGTGCCCTCTTACTGTCAGGGTCTTGCAATCTTAATTCACAAATAAGGCAGGAGACAAAGCTGGGTTCAACTCAGGTTGTAAACCATCTGACCTTCACTGGGGGTTATGTTGAGTTTGGAGAAGAGAAGCGAAGCTGGAGGAGTCAGCTGATAGAATGATGGGAGAGAGCCATTTACCTACAGCATTGAGTCTGAGACTGCAAGACATTGAAATAGCCAACTTACTTATATCTCTTCCCTTCTCTTTTTTCTCTACAGGGAAGGAGATTGGTGGGAAGCTCGCTCCTTGACAACTGGAGAAACGGGCTACATTCCCAGCAATTATGTGGCTCCAGTTGACTCCATCCAGGCAGAAGAGTATGTTTTGTTTTATTGTTTTTTATTTAAGTCCTTGCTGCTAAAAGTTAGTTGCCGCAATACAATGTCATTAACACTGTGCAGATGGGAAAAGAAATTCACTAGAGTGATTAAAGGCTGAGAGAATATGTTAATGCTGTTCCAGGCTTTAGGCCATGGTGTTTGCCGTATCTATGTAATACTTGCACTGTTATTAAATTAATATTTTTCTTTAAGTTTGCTCACTTGTTTAAAACTTAAACATTTGTTTTAAAGTTTGTATCAGTTCCCAAATGAAGACCCAATATTTCTTGCCGTAGATAGAAAGCAACCATAAAAATATGACGAAATTCTCGGTAGAGCGTATTTTATTGGCAATCCAACATTCTAAGCTGCAGTCTGCTCTTGCTCTCTGTTAAAAGAGAGAGAGAGAAATACTTGCTAAAGATCAAGCTGACATTTTTCTCCTCTGTGCAATCCAGAAGTATTAAAGAAGTACTGAAAGGACATACCTTCCACGCCCAGGTAAAAGTATCTCATGTGCAGTGTGTGTCGCAGAATCCAGGAAGTACTGTGGTGATGGATTTCAAATCGTCCTTCATTTGATTTGGGGGTCTTGGTTGGTTTTTTTAATGGTAAATAGTGGCCAGTAGTTATTTGGCTTAAGGATTCCACAGGTAGCAGTTTATGTCGCTGGTCACTAGACTGGGGGGATTTTAAACAAAATAACCTTCGTTCCTTCAGCCAGCCAGTAGAGATTAATGGGTACTTCCAAAGTGTAGAATTGCCAGAGTGGCTTGTTTGCAGACCCTAACTTCTGAACTGAGGGAAAGGGAGGCAGGGCAGTGGTCTCCCACAGGTGGGAACCTGGCCTCCTCCTGACACCATGGGGATCTGCTGCCCCTGCTCAGTGGAGGTGATCTTGCCTCACCCTCACTGGAAAGGGAGTCAAGAAAAGTCAGTCATTGAGCCCGGCCTTTGGCTCTGATATTCAGCTTTGTCATGGATTTATTTAAGGACTCCAAGGAAGATTAAACTCCATACCCTAGCCAGATACCCAATTGGATCATTCTCGTCTTTAATTCCTTTGTATTTCTTCTAAGGAGATCTGTTTTGTTTCATACTCAAATACTCAGCGGTTCTGGGCTCATTTTTTTCTCCTAAAAAACGTGTTTCATCATCAGTGAATAAAAGACTTTGTATTGCATTTTTATTTGGGGGCAGATTTGTGAACATCTTTGTGTTCTTTCAGAATAAAAGGTGCCACCAAAATGTAGCATTACTTTGGCTTAATGGGGAAAATGCCAGCTGTATATTTATGAGGGTCAACTTTTAAAATATTTTGTTTTTAAAGAATAAAATACCATTTTTTGAATAACACGGTTTCACATACACAATTAATTACTATTATCTTAAAATATTGTTGTTTCCATACAATCCGTTGTTCTAGCAGTCCTCTGTTCGCCACTGTTTGTGTTTGTACAGCTTTTAATTGGGTTATTCATACAATCCCAGAAAGTCATTGGTGCCATTCTCTTTATACCAGCTAGTGCTAGGTTAGGGATTGTCGCACAACTTGGTACCTTTAAAAGTCAGTGAAGAGTTAACATATAGTGTGTCTTCTTATCTTCAGTGAAGCTCTTTCATTCACAAAAGAATTCAACAATGAATACATAATAGCTATGTTCCAGTATATATAGTGAATCAAAATTTTATTTTAGACACTGGATCCTGTCACTGTTAAATGTTCTAAAAATTGTTCCTATGGGCAGATTTCAATGGTATGCTTCAGCATTCTCCCTTGGGTCCTTTGAGTACCTGTTGTTCATTCAGCATCTAGTGCTGAACTCTTAAACTAATTGCCAGACATGGTTAGGGCTTGGGGGCAAAGAGCTGGGCAGAGAGAAAAGACAAATAACAAAGGTCATGCAGTGACTTGGTGTGACTCCTCCTAAAGTGGTGCAGGGGTGTCACTAATTTGTTCAGGGAGAATATTAAAATGTCTGTCTACAGCTGGGAGTCATTTTTAAGAACATGCTCATTGACTGTGCACAGATATCAAAGGTGTACAGTAGCCAGTCCTGCAGCTGTGCCAAAAAGGAGACTTCAGCAGATCACAGCCCAGATGCTTGCTAAATGCCTTTTATTTATCCATGTCCTCACACCTGCTGGATAAGAGGAGAAAATAAAAACAAGCATCCAAGGGCAGCAGTAATCTCAGTTAAGGGGTAGTCTCTACCGTTGTTTTTCTGATTCCTATAGGTAGGTTACTGAAAATATCATATGTCTTTATTCTTTATCTGTTCTGACCTTTTTTATTTTTAAAAATGAGTGATTAATGATCTTTTTATACACTAAGACTGTGTGTTGTTATTTCCCAGGGGTTGTAATTACACTCAGGAATCAAGGGTCTTGTCAATGAGCGTGGGAAGGGTCTCCTGCAGTTGCCATTTCAAAACAAGGTCTTAGATTTCTCCTTTGGTGCATGCAGGTGGTAATTTTAACACAAACCAGTTCCTGTCATCTCTGGAGGGAAGCAAAATAGCCCACAGTTCAAGTCTGATTCTTTTTAAGGAGTGAAAGAGATGGATTAGGGGTAGAATCAGGAGTAGACAAAGAGAACTGGATGAGCTAGGGGAAAAAAATATATATATATGTAATGGGCTAAGGGCAAAATTGGAGGTGAGCGGGATTAATGGGCACAAAGGCCTACCCTATTCAATTTTTAAAATGTTAGTTACAAAATATTTTCTTTCCTTGATCCCATTTAAAGGTGGTACTTTGGAAAACTTGGCCGAAAAGATGCTGAGCGACAGCTTTTGTCCTTTGGAAACCCAAGAGGTACCTTTCTTATCCGCGAGAGTGAAACCACCAAAGGTAGGATAACAAGTTGAAGAAGTTAGCTTGTCATTCAAATCTGTGGATTAGTCAGAGGGGATGAAAGGCTTATCTCTAATATATAAGGATTTTAAAATGGCATATATCCTGCCTACCTAGTGAGTGAAGTCCTGTTTTCAGTTTTCCCTCCAGGCTGTAGAACTGCAGACAGCTCCAGCTAAACTACAGAGGCTCCAAATCAAGGCCTTCCTCCCAAAACAGGGGCTGGGGTAGCTTTACTGCTCCAGGCACCCAGGATCATAGAATTTCCAGAAGTACATTAGAATTATGATTTTCTGAAACTCTTAGTTACTCAGGAGCAAGTCATGCAGGTTGTTTAGCTTTTCTTTTGTTTTTTCTTTTTTAATAACTGAGGATCTTAGACTTCTCTTCCTCCAATTGTTGACCTTTTCATTATTTAACAACCCATTAGAGCCCACAGAAGGAGATGAGTAAACGAAAAAAAAAAAAGTAGTTGCCTTCTAACTTGATCTACTGGACACTGGTTATCTCCTCTTCTTAAGAATGTTGTTAAGCAGAAATTTGAATCTCACTTCTAGGGAAACAATCCTCAGATTTCTTTTGTGTGTACAGTCCCCATCTCCAGCGATGCCCCATGGGCAAAGGAGGCAAGGAAGCAAGCACAGCCATGAATCTCTGTGCTTCTCTTGATCTTCCCTGGGGAGGATTGGATCTGTGCCGTATTAGGCAATACAAGTGTACTGAATAGAGTATTTTAGGAAAAAAAAAAAAATCCAGGAAGCTTTCAGTCTCAAGGGTAAAATCATTTTATTGCTAATATCTTCTGACATTTATAGGAAAGCAGCAGGTATTTTCTTTCTTCCTACGTACTGAGTGGAAATGCTGGGTGTGTGTATGTGTGTTTGTGTGTGTGTGTGTATCTCCCCTTGATAATTATTAATCAGAATAGTCAAGTAGATGAAACTTAAAAGCAAATTAGTACTCAAAGTGATTCGAGCTGCTAACGCTTTGCATATTTACCAGGTGCCTATTCACTTTCTATCCGTGACTGGGATGATATGAAAGGAGACCATGTCAAACATTATAAAATTCGCAAACTTGACAATGGCGGATACTATATTACCACCCGGGCCCAGTTTGAAACACTTCAGCAGCTTGTACAGCATTACTCAGGTAACTTCAATTCTGATTAGCTGTGAACCATTTGGACTCTGGAGGTGTGGGCGGGCACAGAGAAGGAAGGTGAAAGTGGTCCAACAAATATGTAGACAGTCACTAGTAAAATGTCTTTCTTTGCAAGTACCTAAAGGTGAGGCTTATCTGAGTAGGTTCTGTTGCTGTTGTTTTACCACAGTTATTACTAGTTCCTTTATGTTTGTCAGTAACCAGAGAAACCAAACCCATTGCCAATCGCTTTAACTACTGTGCAAACAGCGGTCCATTTTTTGTCAATAGATTCTGTAATTCTTTTTGTTCGTCAGTAGATTCTGTAATATTCTAGCTCCCCAGGTAGGAAGCAATAGGTTAAATTTAAAACAATTTTAAAAAGTTGTTTGTTTTTTTCATCTTTATCCTAAAATCCTCTCAAGTATCTTTCCCATTCCCCGACACGTATAATTCCAAAACCATGAAAGGAAGGTGGCGCAGTCTCTGGAAGGTCAGTTACATGGAGACTCCTACAGCGGATGTTGTGTTTCTACCATCACTGCATGCTCAGCACTGATACAGGAATGGCTGTACATACACTTCCTTCTCATGACTAGATGAATTTTGCAATCCGTTTATCATGTTCTACTTCCCCACCAATACCTCTGTTTTCTAAGGAGCCCTGCTGGCGCAGTGGTTAAGTGACTGTTATAACCAAAAGGTCAGCGGTTCAAAGCCAGCAGCCACTCTGCAGGAGAAAAGACCTGGTGGTCCGCTCCTGTAAAGATTGTTGTTGTTTTGTGCCATTGAGTGGATTCTGGCTCACAGCCTTGGAAACCCTGTGGGCAGTTGTATGCTGTTCTACAGGGTTACTGTGAGTCGGAATCTACTCAATAGTATGTAACAACAACAATTTCTGTTTCCTAACTGGACTTAGATTCGTATGACCTAGAGTACATCTACTGTGTTCAGTTAAACTTTAAAAAGTAGATGAAGCTTTGTCCTAACCCCAGATGTCACCATTATTTTCTTATTCCTGGAAACATACAATTACCAAGTGTTCAGGCATGCAATTTGTACATTTTACTAAAGAATTTGGTTTATGTGCAATTTGTTAAAATAATTGCATTTCATCCCTAGATTAGCAAGTGTATCCCCCTATCAAATACATAGACACCTGTGGATATAGATATAGGTGTACATGTACAGATATAGATCTATCTCCATTAAGCTAGTGGTTTTTTTATATAACCCATTGCCGTCAAGTCAATTCCGACTCATAGCAACCCTATAGGACAGAGCAGAACTCCTCCATAGCGTTTCCAAGTAGTGGCTGGTGGATTCGAACTGCTGACCTTTTGGTTAGCAGCCAGGCTCTTAACCACTTCGCCACCAGTGGTTTGTATACATTTATGTATTTCATATTTTTCTGCAGACAATGACAAGTCCCCAAAAGAGTATGTGACTTCACCTCTATGTGCAGTCATTAAAAATATGTACATGATTTTTTAACAGAAAAAAAAAGCAATCTTTTGAAAGTAACAGTAAGAAATGCCTGTATATTGATTTGGGTCACTAATGAGCAATTGAAAAAATTAGTACTTGGTGTATTAGTTGATTGGAGCATTGGGTAACTTTTGCTTGATGCAGATTCTAATGAGATATTTGGAGAAAAGAGGGCAGACTATCTCTCTGAGCTTAAATGTTATACTCAGAATGCCTGCAAGTTGTAAGGATGTCTCAAATGCTGAAATATATTTCATTACAGCCAAACATCAGCAGGATCCCTAGGGTTTGGATCACTTGAAAATACTGAGTTGGAAAGGGCACATTAATAACATCATAAAGCTGGAAGGAGAGAAGGGATATGAAGAGCAATAGACTTTTTTTCAGTCTCAAAAAAAAAATCCATCTTGAGTTTAGATTTGTTTTTATATTGGCTTTTCCTCTTTCTCTCTCTCATACAATAAAATGCCTTTGAAATATTGACACATAAATAATTTCCTGCCTAAACATCTCAAAACCCGATTCCATCAAAACTAAAAGAATAAAAGTTAAGTTTTAGCAGGTTCCTGGAGAAAAGGCAATACTGCATTTGCTCTTTCTAGATCTGAAGGGCTTCCGGGGGGCGAGGTGGGGCCAGGGCTCTGTCCACCTCACCGCCCAGACTCTGTGCAGCTCTTGTCACTTTCCTCACCCCTTGTTCTTTGTTACCCTCTCACCTGGATGATTTGTAGCTTGGCATTTAGGCGGTTTCCCCCCCTTAGCATTGCTAAATTCTAAAATGCATATTATTTTTTAAAAAATAAATAAACCTCCAAATAACCTCTAAATGATGAGTACATTTTTCCTTCCTCTTTTTCATAAGGAAAAGAATTATCTCACATCCTTGAGTTTCTGCAAATTTTAGTTTCCATTCTTTCTCCTTTCAAACCAGACTTCTAAATTATATGCCGGAGACTGTTATAAAGGTTAAAGAGAAAAAAAAAAGAAGGAGCTATCAAAGAAGCAGTGCAAGAGCATATAACTGGTATAATAGAGAGTCAGAAATGCCAAAGAAATCACTAGAGAAGTGAGACCTTTTTTCCCCTGCCAGGTATAATCTGTATCTTTACTAGTTTGTAACAGTCTAATGTTCTATAGAAGAATCCTATACTAAATTTACAATTTTAAATAAATTCATCCCAAAGAGATCCCCAGTCCCCTGAGTAACCTAGATATTAGGCAGGTGAGAAAGCACAGTCAAGCTGACATTCAGTAGTCTAAATGCACCTTTTGAAATCAGTGTGGGTATTTTCAGGGTTTCAGAAGGCATGGTATTAGCACATTGGGCTGAAAATGTTTTTCTTGCTTATTAAGTAAAGAATCCAAACTAGACTATATCTACATATATATGCATAGACTATGTTATATCTGTATGTATAGAGTACTCCAAATTTAAAATGCCACCTATTCTACCGTCAAATGAATATGTTTCCATGTGTGGTGTCTAATCTTCCAAGATGTGTCTATTTCTTTGCTAACGTAGCACTGTTCTGAGTAGCACTGTGCGCTGGCCGGTGTGGGTTTGTGTACCTGTGAGTGTTTTGTTTCATGTATTCTGCTCTTCTCTCTCCCTCTCCTGCCGCTGTCTCCGCCCCCGCTCCGTCAGAGAGAGCCGCAGGTCTCTGCTGCCGCCTAGTAGTTCCCTGTCACAAAGGGATGCCAAGGCTTACCGATCTGTCTGTCAAAACCAAAGATGTCTGGGAAATCCCTCGAGAATCCCTGCAATTGATCAAGAGACTAGGAAATGGGCAGTTTGGGGAAGTATGGATGGGTATGCTGAGACTCAATTATTCTATTATTAGCTTCCTTGTTTGGTGAATCTCAAACATCAAAGATGGAAGGTGAAAATAAAGACTTTATGAACAGGAAGAAAATTTAAATTACTAATGGGGGAAATAATGATTTTGATTTCAGAATTCTGGGATTTCTAGAAAAGAAATAGTAAATGATCAAGATTGGTAGGTTGGCTCGGATTGTACTATTAAATGAGCCTCAATTCATAAACCAGTAAATGGTACAAGGAATGATCCAGCCTGCATAAAATGTCTTGCCTTTCATTTCCAACCGCAAATATTTGTTGAATAAACTCAGTGTCGCCCTGAAGGGCAGGTCACCTTCCATCTTTCCTAGTGCATGCATAATTTTGGATTATAAGGACTGTGTTTTCTTTATTAATTCCCTTTTCTGTAGAGAAAGCTGATGGTTTGTGTTTTAACTTAACTGTGATTGCATCGAGTTGTACCCCACAAACTTCTGGATTGTCTAAAGATGCTTGGGAAGTTGCACGTGATTCGTTGTTTCTGGAGAAGAAGCTGGGTCAGGGGTGTTTCGCTGAAGTGTGGCTTGGTAAGGCAGAGGGCACATTTTGTTTTGGCTGCGTCTTAGAGCCAATTAAAAGGATGGTTTTGAACAAAAACACACAAATCTATATGCACAGCCATTTGGACCAAGACACTTAATCTGGATAGCTAGATGGTCACAGGCCATCCAGATTTTCAGAATATGGTGATTCCTCAGTGTACATGTCTATCCTGCTTTGTGTGGTTAATTAAGGCACCCACAGAACAGGAAAACAATTCACTATGAATCTGCTGTTTCTTCTTCCTCAAAGACTGGAAGGTAAGATACTGTAGGTGGCCTATTGTAGGGCAAGACCATGGGCTTTTTGCGCATTGGGCCTGGGATTGGATCTATACTAGTTCATTAACTATGGGCAAGTGGCTCATTAACCTCTTTGAGCCCCAGTTTTCTCATCTGTAAAATTAGAATGATACCTACTCCATAGGATTGCTTTGAGGATTGCATGGGACAATATATTTAAAGTCCCTTAGGGGGTCAGTAGACACCCAGGCTTCTCTTAAGTTAGTTGTCATTGTCAAGGACAACTGCACTGGCCCCTCCCCAGTGCTTTTCTAATAACCTTTGGGTCAATAGCAGCTTTGCTTACAGATAATACACGGGTTTAAACCCTACCCAAAAACATCTATCAGTACGAGAATATTTGATTGTGATATTTGTGAAATCCTCCTTCCTTAGAGTCCATTAAAAACAATGTAGATAGGTGCCTCTTCTTCTGTGCTGCTGTCAATGTTTAAGTGTAGTCTGAATGAAAAGAATTAATACATTTAAGCACTTAGAACAGAGCCAGGCACACAGTGAGATATAAGATATATGTAGATAGAGATATATAGATATACATATATATACACTCAGACATACACATATATGAGTATGTATTAGCATTTATAATAGTAGTATCATTATTATTGTATTTCAGAGTTCACATTATTGTGTCCGTCTCTTTGGACTTTAACTCAAGTCTTATTGTAAAATATCTAAATATGGCCAATTTGTAGTTGAAGTTCTGGGTCCTAAAAATTTTAATCAAATCATTTGCATACTCAGGAGGAATTAGACTCCATAAGAAAATTTATTTTCAAACTTTATTATCAGCTTTAAATCTCCACATGTACTGTTAAGATTTTGTTTCTCATTAAATATAAAGCATCATCTTGTGATAATTCAGAATGGGGATGGAATAATATCTGTAATTAATGGTGTTGTTACTGGAGAGGAAGATACCACTCTTACAAAATTTTGGAATGCTAACACTCAAATAGCAAAAATTCACTTACAAATTGTCAAATTTCCCATTTACATTTAGTGGTCAAATAATTTATGAGATTTCAGTGAACTCTTCTTTAAGCCCCTTGTTCTTTCATAATTTATATTTTTGTAGGTCACATATTGTAATTATATGAACCATGTATTTAACAGGGTAACAAGAGTTGCTCCAATTTAGATAATTTTTTAAATTCTAAAGTCAATTATATTACAAATACAAATTAATCTTAATTCAAACCAGCCTTCTTTTTCAAATAGAAAATAATGTAACTTAGCAGATTTTTCTTTTCCCCATATAAAATATTTATAATTCCAAGTCAGAGGACTAATAATGGAATACACATAAAACCTAGGATTTAGGGGAGAAGAAAGGGGCAAACCCTGAAAGAGACTCAAAAGATAATCCAGTTTATTCCTATGTTTTACAGATGAGATAACTGATAATTATCTTTAGCCAAGGCTTGCCTGGTTTTAACATTTTAAGGTTCAATATTTCTGTTCCCTCCTAGCTGCCATTTAATTTTTCCACTCTAGCTGGTGAAAGTCATTGTTCTCGTTGTGACTGACTATCAGTAAACCTGAGGGATTTTTCCTTACCTGGTTGAAGTATTGGCAAGTAGATTGAGGACTTCTTGCCAGTGCTTATCAGCATGCTTAGCTCAACTGTTAAAGGACTCAGTCAAGTAGATCATCCATTGCAGACAACTAAAAGTCTAGAGGTAATTTCCAAACATCCTCAGGTGTGTTACCTTTTTTTTTTTTAATGGCAGTCTCCCATAAAAATGGAATTTAAATAATCTCGTTTCTTCTAAGCTCGCTCTATTACCTGAGGAATGGTTGTTGGACGGCTAGACCTGCCCTAACCTCTGGACTTTATCATTGTAAAGAAGGGAGCAGAGCTTTTGGGTTAAATTTATAATCAATGGCTGAGCCAGAAAAGGAGAGTGGTATAATCAAAATTAAAATAAAGAATTATAAACTGGCCATAAGTAAGACATTTTTTTTCTTTTGAAAATACTTGACAAAGTCCTTGATCTGTATTTTGTTCCACATAAAGTATGTTTTTGTTTTGTGGTTTTTTTTTTTTAACTTAAAAATTTAACTTTGTGCAAATAGCTATTGGTTAAAAAACTTTTCTTCCTTCAAAAGAGAATTTTTGGTTTGACTTAATGTTGTGGGATGTTTGTAGGTACCTGGAATGGAAACACAAAAGTAGCCATAAAGACTCTTAAACCAGGCACAATGTCCCCTGAATCATTCCTCGAGGAAGCGCAGATCATGAAGAAGTTGAAACATGACAAGTTGGTCCAGCTCTACGCAGTGGTGTCTGAGGAACCCATCTACATTGTCACCGAGTACATGAATAAAGGTTGGGCAATACCTGTCCTCCTCCACCTCCACGGTGACCTAGAGGGGTCACTGCACAGGGAGAGAAACGGAGCCGCCTCCTTGCTTTCTTCGTGGTTTCTGCAAGAATCAAGTATTCCCATCAGGAAACACCAACTGTGCACTCACTAATGAAAACATTTTAAAAGCAGACCTTGCATTTGCCCCAAATCCTTGCAAAATCCACCTTTTGCATGCTGTACATGTCAGGAATTCAAGCTCCTCTCCACAATTAAAACATTCATTTTTAATATGGAGATTGGTACAGAGGGCTGTGATAGTTTGCTATTATTTTGAATGCAGTAGCTTGTGTTAAATTCCTCTTCTGCAGTTAACAACAGACACTAGTCTCTGGGCTAAGTTTAGTCTCCATCATTTTGGCATCTTTTTTTTTTTTTTCCAGCTCTCTTCTTAAACATCAGATGAAGAAATAACATGCTTTTAAAGAGCACATTTTATTCTCATCCTCTCTGTCTCTCCCTCCCTGCCTTCCTCCCTCTCTCATTTTCTCTAATCAAAGCAATATTGCTGGGGAGAAGGCCAAAGATCACTTTGTTTTAGAAAAACAGATGAACCAAACAAGAGACAAACAGCCTTAAAAGGCAATGCATTGTACATCAGAGGACACCACTGTCGTTTTTCTTTTCTACGTACTTTCTTTTAAAATATATTTGGAATTTTTTCCTGGCAGATTGTTTGCCCTTTGTATCCAGGATTATTTTATAAATAACTTTGTGATTAAAGCATGAAAAAAAATCACTGATGACCATCATGAGCCTCCAGCCTCTGAAAATGATTATTCCAGCCTTGGTGTTAGTTCTGAGCCTCCTAAGGCTGTATTGCCCTAATGGCTCTGAAGCTCCAGCTGTTGTGGTTCAGATGTCTGATTTAAGGCTTGGCTGGCTATGATCTAATTGGGAGTGGGTGGCTATGTGCCCCACCCTGTATTTCTCAGATACTCTTTTCTTGATTTAAAATCTGTAAATAATGTAGGCCAGTGGTTCTCTACTTTACCATGTATCAGAATCACCTGGAGAGGTTTTTAAGACAACAGATTTCTGGCCCCAACCTCCAGCGTTTCAATAGGTCTGGAGCGGGGCCTGAGAATTTGCATTTCTAGCAAGTTCCCTGGTGATGGCATTGCAGCTGGTTCTAGGACACACTTTGGAAACCACTGGGATGAGCTCTGTTTTTCCCACACCACTTCTTTGTGCAGGGCTGATTCCCGAATGACATGAAGTGGTGCAGGTCTCCACAGGTTCCTCTTTATGACATAAAGGAAGATGTTGGTTTTATCAAATTTTTGTTGTAATCCTTAGAAATGGAGTCAACATTATTTATTTTTAAAAGATAAAACTGTTGCCTTTCAATGCAGAGAATTCTGTCAGTTCTTGTTTTTTGTATAAACCTTCTTCTGTTTTTTCTCTCATGGCATTATTCCATTCAGCTACCTTATTACTTCTAGTAAGAAAACTATATACAGCCCTCTATTGGGAATTTTTATCTTTCAGAGTAAATCGAAATGCTTTCGTGTTTTGTTCCTAGGAAGTTTACTCGATTTCTTAAAAGATGGAGAAGGAAGAGCTCTGAAATTACCAAATCTTGTGGACATGGCAGCACAGGTAGGCACCATAGCACCTGGGTTCACACCTTAGAATTAACAATGTGCCAGTGTGTCGAGTCATGGGGTAACGTGTCCTGTTCCCTGGTTTTCAACAGGTTGCTGCAGGAATGGCCTACATCGAACGCATGAATTATATACATAGAGACCTACGATCGGCAAACATTCTAGTCGGGAATGGACTAATATGCAAGATTGCTGACTTTGGATTGGCCCGGTTGATCGAAGACAATGAGTACACAGCAAGACAAGGTGGGTACTTGCATGACGATGGTTCGTGATCATATCTTTGAGAATGATCATTGACTGTATGACCCTTCCTTTCTTGTTACTTTCCCTTCCTCCTTTGAGACGTCATTCCTCAGCTCAGCTTTTTCTCCTTAATCTGGCAGAAATTTGACTGCACTGCAGGTGGGAGACCATAGTGCATTCAGTAGATAAATGAGATACGGCTAGTCGGTGAGTGAGTGTCCACTGTGGCCCCCTGACTCATCCTGTCCTCCTGATAGCATCCAGGCCTGGGATACTTTGTCTTTGGAGAAAGAGGGCTGTGGAAAGGGTAAGGGATCAGTCAAGTTATATAGCTCATTATGCAATTGGTCAGAATCCCAGCAGAAAACAGAAGACACACTCAGATTGTAGCATTTAATAGCACGGTTATTTACAAAGGTATGGTCAGGGTTTAGGAAAAGCAACAGGGTAGGGTGCAGCATCCCAGAGCTCATAATAGCAGTGGAACTGAGGGAGGGAGGGAGTGGGCACCAGAACAACACAGAGCGGGCAACAGTGGAGGGAGCCCCCTTTGGCAAAGAAATACGGCAGGAAATAGGTCTGGGGACCCATACCTGACCTGACTTTTCAGCCATCTTCTAGATCTACTGCCAAACCCAACCAGAAGCCAGAGATCAAAGGAGCCCAGTCTCTGTGGGTCCAGGAGATTCCTTGAATGGCAAAAAATAAGCGCTCAACTACGAGCCAAAAGGTTGGCAGTTTGAACCCACCAGGAGGCACCTCAGAAGACAGAGCTGGACACCTGCTTCTGAAAGGTCACAGCCTTGAAAACCCTATAGAGCAGTTGTAGTCTGCACACATAGGGCTGCCATGAGTCGGAATCTACTTATTGGCAACTAACAACAACAACATGAGCCCAGGTGGGGAGAAGATGGGGGGAGAGAGGGCCTAGAGGGATTGCAGAAGATAACAGCCTAGTCATTGGAAAAGCTCCACTTCCCTTAATCATCTCCCTTCACCCTACTCCCTACAACAAATTCATAGAAATTAGCCTTTAGAGAAGTACATCCTAAACCAGCAGCCACTCCAGTGGGGCAGCTTTTCAGATGCTATTAGAGCACCATGTACAAACGAGGGAATTCCCAGGGGTGTTTCCTGCCTGCCTTGATATTCACACAGTGGTCACCAGGTAGACATTGTAGAATTAGGTATGCAGTTGCAACCACAAGTGGGCTCCTGTGTAGAATTTAATGCTCGTATCTGGAGGAAGGGTGTAACTTTCAATGTTGTTGTTTTTAACCAAAACCTATTCTTATTCCAAGTAAGACTGAACAGTGACTGGAATATATTACAGGGTGATGCTTTCTACTGGATTTCATAATGGCCACCTCTGGAGTTTTTCTTTTTCTTTTTTTTTTTAATTCTTTCCTTTAATGCAGTTCTTCCTTTTATTTGAGTCTAAGAATAGAAACCTTCTCAGCAGTCCAGTGATGAGGAAAAAATGTTCATCTAAGACCCTGGCTGGTATAGATACTGCCCAAATGCTAAATTACATGTCGGTCAGAGAGCTTGGCTCTTTGGATTTGCCCAATACTTGGCAGCTCTTGTCGTGGAGCCAAATGCCCACACAGCAAGCATGCCCACACAATACAACACATACCCACACACACACCAGCATGGGGCCAGATGGCTGTATCTCTAATCAAAGACACACAAGCAGCTTTGATTGGCACTGGCAGTCCAGAGAGAGTTAAGGATGTGATTTCAAGGCAAGGTGAGCTGAGAGGGTCTGAAGTGCAGCTGGGTCTAAGACCTGGCCCTAAACCCTGAGGCGATCCTGTCAGATCCCAACTCCTCAGATCTGGAGCGAGAGTGAGTAAAGATTGTGAGACAGGAATATTTGGTTTAGGAAAGGACTGGAATAGAGTCACTCTTCGTGGTCATGAAAGTGCCCTTCTGCGTGTGAGTAGAGTCCCCATTCAGGGTTTGTTTCTCTCCTTTTCCTGGACTGTGGACACTCCTGAATCCATGATAAGTGAGAAGGTTACAGGGCTGGGAGCCAAAGGACACTAGCCTACTAGCAGGGGTGCTGCTGATAGGGCCTGGACGTTTGGTTCATGGATAGTCCACTGGAGTGAAGTACCTCATGATGTGGCCCAGGGTGACTAGCACCCAGGAAATGACATGTGAGGAGCCCCTTGCCGGTTTCCCCTCATATCACCCTGCTGCTCTTGGAGCAGTCCAGAGCCCACCGTCAGCTCTGGCCTTTGAGGCCTGTCCTCCCGCTTTCATGCTCTGATGGTCTCTGCCAGCTTCCTCACCTCCCTGCTCACTTTCCAGATCAGATGCTGCCTGAACACCTTTCAAAGGACCAGCCTTGTACCCTTTGTACCATGATTCCTTTACTTCCAAATAGAGGGCCCCACCCTGCCCTCTAAAAACTTTTTTTCCTTCTCTCTTCCTTTTTCCAGACATCTTCAAATCCATACCAAACACTGTAAAAAGATGAGGAAAAGTAAATGAACTGGAGAGCTGAAATGGGTGGGGGGGAGGGCAGCAATGGGGCCTCATGATTTCAAAGGAGAATAGAAGAAATGCTGTCCTGCCACAGAGGGAAAGGGAAGGCAGAGGCAGTTATAGACTGTCTGTCAGGTGTCAGGCTGAGCTGGTAGGTGTGAGGAGGTGGGGAGGGAAACAGAAAATAGACTCAGAAGGGTTAAGTAACTTAATACAAATTCACACTGCTAGTAAATGGCAGAGCCAGGATTTGAATTCAGGTATGGCTGGTCCAAATACACCTGCCCTCTTAAGCTAAGCTAACTGCCTCTTATCAAGACAGTGATTAAAAGAACAGGAAAATACCATGATGAGATACCACTTTATGCCCTCTAAGATGAGCTATGATCAAAAAAATGGAAAACAACAGGTGTTGGCCAGGGGGTGGAGAAGTTGGAACCCTCATTCATTGCTAGTGGATTGTAAAATGGTGCAGCTGCTATAGAAAACAGTTTGGACGTTCCTCAAAAAGTTAAACATAGAATTACCATATGGTCAGCAATTCCTAGGTATATACCCAAAATAATTGAAAGCAGGAATACAAACAGATACTTGTACACCAATGTTCATTGCAGCGCTATTCACAATAGCCAAAAGGTATGAACAACCGAAATGCTCATCAACAGATGAATGGATAAATAAAATGTAATACATACATACAACGGAATATTACTCAGCCACAAAGAGAAATGAAGTCCTGATACATGCTACATGGAAGAACCTTGAAAACATTATGCTGAGTGAAATAAGTCAGTCATGAAACGACAAATATTATATGATCCCAGTTATATAAAATATCTAAAATGGGCAAGTGTATAGAACCATTGCTTAGAGAACATTGAACTTCTGTTAAGAGTGATGGAAAAATTTAGAAGCTGATAGTGGTGATGGTTGCAGAGGATGAAAGTAATTTTAATGTCACTGAATTGTACATGTAAAAAATGTTGAAACAGCAACTGTTATATATATATACTCACCAAAATAAAAAATTTTTTAGGAAAGAAGAGAGGATTAATCATGATAGCCATGATTCTCTTTGTCTCTTTATTTTATGGAAAAAAAAAATTTAAGGGGCACCTTCTAATGTGCATGTATGAGGAGAAGGACCTTCCTTTTCAGGCTCTGGGGCAACCCAGCTGTTTATAAAATTCCTCCCAAGGGCCTGCCCTGCCCTGGCCCCTTTTTGAGGCAGAAAGGATCTAGTGTGTATCTATCTGCTGTACTCTGCAGATGGCATGCGTGCTGCATGCTGAAGTTTCTGCTGGGGATTAATCCGCTCCTTCAGACAGCTGGTCCATGTGCCTAATAATATTTGCAAGTCAGGTTTTATGTTACCCACAGGCCACAGCCATGCTGCATCTTGATTATGGAAGTGCAGGCAGTGTTGAGAAACATGTGCCAAACCGAGATATTTTAGGACTGTGAATGACAGTTGTTTTTCAACGAAGTTGTGAGTCTCCCTTCTGAGGGTACACTGAAATGTTTGTCTCCCCCCTGGGTGGATGAGGTGGCATTCCATATAGCAACAGTAGAAATGAAACTCGTAGCTGTGTTAAACGGTCCCTCCTGTGTTCCTTTCTTCCTACCACCCCCATCCTTCTGGCTTCAGACTGTGAACAGAAGTGCCAGGGAGGAGGTCAAGAGCCCAGAGCCTGTGAGGGTGGCAGAAATTATTTGGGATTGTTTGTTATTATTATTACCTACACATCTCCCTCAATTATAACAGATACTTGTTCTTTAGTCATAAGCTCCTTGCTAAATTCTGTCTGATCAAGGAAAGTCTCTAGGTAACGCCAGCATTAATTATTTGAGTGCCTTGTCTATGAGAGGGACTTTACTTACCGATATGAAGAAGCCTAAGACTGCACACTGGGTCAGTCAGCGTAAGGAGGAAAGATAGGAGCGGCGTCGAAGTAACACAGAACTAGGATTGATGCCCAACTCTACCACTTAACTGTTCTGGGAACTTGGGCAAGTTATTTAACTTTTCCATGCCTCAGTTTCTTCATCTGTAAAATAGAAATGCATAGTACCTGCTTTGTGCATTTTTGCAAATTCAGTGAAATAATGCATGTGAAGTGTTTAGCACAGTGCATTTACAAATGTTAGTTATTATTGTTATTATGTCCTATACAAGACTAAATCCTGAGGAATAAACAGATGCATGAATTGATTGTAGATACAATAGAAAGGCTCAAACACTTTTCGGGGAAAGGAAGAGAGGAATTAGAGATAACTCTCAAGTATTCAAATGTGAGTCATCACACAGTAGTGTTGCCAGCAACAGAAATGCGTGAATCAGGAAGAAGATGTTCTTTTCCAAAGAAAGATGGTGAATTTGGTTTTGGATTTGTTGAGTTTGAGGTGGTCACGGCAGTGCATCCAAGCCTGGAGAGGTCATTCAAGGTGCCCTCACCTAGCCCCACTGCCACATGTGGGTCCTCTGCCTTCCACCCCTCCTCCCC